GCAAAATTTTCATACGCATGTGAAGAAACATGATTTTATATACACACGTCATTTATGATTGGAACATTCTTAATGAGAAAATCGCACATTTCGATATAATTCGGATGCTCGCAAAACTTGTGTAAATAATTTCATTGTATTATCAAAGCAAATATATTCTTCAATAGTATTATTTTATTCGAGCTTATATAGGACTCATCTTTGTTTATAAAATAAAATAATTCTGCTTCCGGTTTTTGTATGAGGAATAAATGTGAATGATTAAAATGATTTTGTAGTATAAAATATATAATTCAGTTCCTCTGTTTAATTCTATTTATGCTCTCAAAGATCTACAATGCAGGAAGAAAAAAATTAATTACTTTGCATTAATTGACTCAATATTATAATATCACCATAATTTTATTGCACATAAATACGATTTCTTTTAATTACGTGTAAAATGTTCTATAGAAATAGTTGTTTTTTTATTTCTTGCGAATTCTCTTGATTTTAAGATTTATTGAATCGCATTTTATTTTACTTGAAACAGGAATATCTTCTACTGAGGAATTGATTTTTAATTTATTGACGAGGATTTCTTTGACAGGAAATAAAGCGTCGCGACATGATTTTCACACGACATCGGGATGCGTTTTCCCGGTGGTCTCGGACGGCTTTTTCTCCCTCTCGCGTGCAATCGCGCGCCTGTGTCGCGTTCGCGACGATGCGTTTAAATGATATGTGTGTGTAGATATATATATACATATATATGCGAGACGAGAGTTTAGACGAGGTAGGCAGAGGGGTTTCCGGCGAGCGTTAACAGAGTAACAGAGTGATGTAATGAGGCCCGGAAGCAGGCAATTTGCTGCCCGCGGCGGCCACAGTTGCGCGAGACAACCTGCCCGGAGTACCTTCTTCTTGATATCGCGGTCCAGCCTTCTCCGTATCGGACACCTGACCGAAAAACCCGCGGAAAGTGATGTCGTGAAGAAACGCGAATAGGGAAAACAATACTACGCGGCCATCGCGTGCGAGTGCGTGCGAAGGGAAATCGTCAACGCGCGTTGAGGAGAGTAATTATCTCGTATGATGAACGCGCGGCCCGCTGGCACAACGTTGTTTTGTTCGATATAATGAGTGTGAATTATATGCGACAATGGACGTCGTACAATTAGTATGAGGTTTCTGAATCTACGGTATTGGAGATTAAGTTCGATATATTACGCTGGTTTTAACTTTTGGTAACTATAAAATATTAAGAACCGTCGAGAAGAGAGATACGAAGTGATGTAGCAAAATACTTTTTTAATTTGCATGTCGTCGTCACTTTTTCATTTTAAAAAGAAATTATCTTGAATTAGAAATATTTTACAATTAAAGTAAATTTTAAAGCTCGCACTTATTGCGTTGTTAAAATATTTGCGGAAATTTTATTAACTTTATCAGTATTTATGCTGAAAAAATTTCTGGTTGAAAATGGAATCACGAATCAAAATTTTCTGATTAAATTTATTAGAATTCTAGTTGAGAATTTTGATTGAATACAATACTTCTGATAAAATCTACTAGAATTTTTATTTTTACCAGAAGAATAATCAATCAGAATTCTAGTTATCTCGACTAGAATTTTAGCAGATTTAACCAGAAAATTCTGATTCGTTCATTTTCCTTCAGAATTACTATTTTAATCCAATCAGATTATTTTTCTCAGTGTATAAAAACTTAATAGTAAAAATATTAAAAAGATTAGATTCAAAACGATTGATTGAGAACGGCACACTATAGTACACTATAGTAAATAAATTCTCAGTAGCGTAAAAATGGCGACCGCCCAAGCAGTCCGCAAACTACAGTATCTCCGACGATCGATCGCTCGATTCGGCTTTTAAACTGTCAGACAGAACCGCAAAGACAATCCGGCTGCGCGCTTATCATGCCGCGGAACAGCGTGACTATGTGACAGTTTTGTGATTAGATTGACCTCAATACACGTTGAACATCCGGACGTACCCACAAGAGTGCTTTTATCCTTAACCATCCCGATCGAATGTCAGCGAATGCTTCGCGATAACAAGTGACTCGAGATAACTGGAAAAAGTTGCATCTTGTCTGCTGGACTATTCTAGTGGATGATTCACAGAAAAATGATGTTTGAACGATCAACGCAGCAACAGTGAAACGTGTACAGGTCCATCACGAAAATTGTCACGGTGATCGAAGGTAAACAAATGACAATCGAAATAGATAAAGAAAAAGTCACTTTTTATGATTAAGATAACACTATCGAAAGAATTTCAGGAATCTATCATGGAGCATGTCGGAATGGATTCCGATCGGAATTATTTCGTATTCCTTAGAAAACAAAATAGAAGTTTAGGGAATAATTGAATAATTCCAATCAGAATTCATTTCGAATGATTCTATAATATGTCATATTACTAACATATGTTTTTATTAGAAATTGACCTGTCTTTAATATACCTGTATTTATGTCGTTTTATGTATACACTGAAAGAAAAGATTGGCTGAATATGACATAACATTTTTAATTGATATCCTATAGGTACTGACATTGCGGATAGGCTAAAGCAACCAAAAATTTATTGCTCTGATCAAAAATTGGCTACTGCAGTCAATTAAAAACGCTATGCCATATTTTATCATCTAATTTGCTGCAACAGTTAATCTTTTCTTTCAGTATAGAAAAATATAAATATACAAAATCAATTGCTTAGTGTAAAATTTTTTAAGTAAAGTACCTAAATCATTTAAATCACGAGTACGAAAGAGCAGAAATAAATTTAAATATAGATGGATTTAAGTACTTATTATGCAATATGAATCAATATAAATCCATTTATCAATTTTAATGAGAAAATGATAACCTTAGAAATAAATGTAGCTATTTAACTTTCTATTAATAACTAAGGTCAAATAGAAAGCGAATCGATAGTTTGTGTTTAAACCATATGAAAAGTTGAAAATGTCTAGATAATTCATATTTTAAATATTAATATCATCTAGTATGATAATTTTCATTATCTACACATTTTATCTGATTAATTATTTAAAAATAGTACGATAAGAGTTTCACGTGTTTGAGCGAATCACACGTGGATCGGTAACATCGTGCGGCATCATTTCGTTTGAATAATGATTTATGTAATACGGGAAGGGATAGCGGAAGTGGCAGATTTTCAAGATTAGACGGAAGCAGACTCGCGATAAACGACAAGCTTCAATATTATATGTAGGTAGTCTCTTATCTCCGCGCTCTTGGCGTTGCGGAATTGCGGGGAGATACGATCGTAACGGGTCTCATGCAAATTCGATTGTGAATCGCTTTCGCAATTTTGACGACCATAAGTTCGAGGCCGCGCCGTCGATGAAATGTAGATGATAGGCGTCCCGGCATGTTTTCTAGATTACGCGACTTCGATTAGAAGCGCTCCGTTGTTACGTGTTACATGATATCTCCCAAATATATGTTTCTAATATTTGCAGTGCCTCTCTTCGAAGCGTTATAAAGAAAACGATAACGAAATGCTAAGTATCGCATATAATTCGCGACATGTACAAAGATTTAGTAAACATTGTATCAAGACGAATTAAAATAAAACTGTAAAGAAAGCATCTTCTATTTGCATTTGTAAATTAAATTCCGCCAATAATTTTATGTAATTTTGCACGAATAATTTTATAAATCAATTTTTATCGAAATATCTATGTTTAATAGATTATAATAGAATTTGAAGCCAAATATAGCATCTGCGATTAGATAAAGAAGATAATTTAAGCTAGCATCTATGAAATATTAATTCTTGTGGATTAATAGCGTATTCGACGTGATCTTTTGTTTTCTACTAATAGATATCGCACCCAAAATGATGAATAAGAATGCTAATGTAATAAACGTTTTCCTGATGGTGTGCAGCTTTGGTTGATTCATGACCAGCTGCAACCGAAGGTAAACGTATATGTATATATACCTACCTATTAAGTGTTATTTTGACCGGTTAACCCGGGAATACACGTACAAGGTACATCATAAATGATCCAACGATAAGAACTTAAAAAAAGTGATTGCATGATAGAACCTTTATCTTATCTCTTACGAAATAAGATTCCAAAACGTACTACATTTAAGTAATTTTAATGATAAAAAGATACCAGTGATTAGGAGAGACAATCTTAGTTGACTAATAAAAGAATATTTAAGTTGAAAATTCTTCAATATAAAGTCAAATGTAATAAAAGTTAAAAATTTGATTTTGAAGAAAAATGAAAAGACGGTTTGAATATAATAACTGAAAGACATTCATCTTTCAGTGGGATTGTAAAATGAGAAATATTCGCGCATACATATAATATGCTCATCTATTTTAATTCGATCATGCCTTTACCGGATGTTTCAAGGGTCCTTTAATGATCCCAACTGTGGTATCTGCATGAATATAAGTGCTGTCAACCTAAAGTAACGTAGGCTTGCTTCACTCGACCCTGCATTTTAGCCATGTCCATTTTAATCAAAAGAATTTAATAACGTGAAACGAAACTTTTATTTATTACGATTTATAATAGAATTCATTTTTTTCTCTAGTTTCAAGTTTATATCAATAAAAAATGCCAGCTTATTATAGTGACAGCTACTATCAGTTGATTCATACAGCGACGTGAACTTCATTTCTGAGAGTTGCAATGAATATTCAGAAGGAAGTACTCAATTGAACGAAACGGAGTCAACGTCGACATACAGATGTTTCTCATTGAGACTTCTTCCTAATATGTAGCTGAATGAAAGAATACAATTTTCAAATTTTTTTACATCCTGCGGATACAATTATGTTCCCAAAATAAAAGAAACTGCACTTGCGTACAGTTTAAGGACTTATTATCGAGTTGAAGGTGGACTATACTAATCGATTGTAGTCTATTCCTCAATATGACAAGTTGACATAATAATCTCAATAATTATGGCTCTTTCTAGCGTTCAAGAAGACAATCTTAAATTGCAGGGGCTCTTTGGTGATGTACGACAGCGCTAGCTGTTCGTACGCAGGTGCGCTCGAATTAAAGGGAGCCTCCGGGGCCGGAGCCGCGGCCGCGGCCGCCGCTGGTGTAACCGCGGCCGGCGTTAAACAGGAGAACTGGCCGTACCGCGGCCTCACCTGCGGCAGCACCTTTCAACGACTCAAGGAAAGCGTCGACAAGGCGAAGCAGGCCCTTGCCGATCGCAGTGGTTACCTGGCGGGTGCGTTTTCGCCGCCTCCACGCGCCAACCCGTCCGCCATTTCTCCCACCGCCTCCATCACCGGTAAGCGAAGCTCTTCTCTTAATCCTCTATAATCTCCCTCCCTTAACATGAAACACACTCAAATCGAAGCTTTTTTGTAAAAGGGACTGAGATTTCCAGCATTGATCTGAATTTGACATTTTCATGCTCTTTGGAAAGACGGATTAAGACCGGTATTTATAGTTCATTCTTGTTTTAAGGCCATCTTAAATAATGTTTTGTGCTAATATGGCTTTGTAATTTGTTTATATGTTAAGACTGTGCTTAAGATAGTCTTAAATATAAAAACCGATTATAAATACCAGCCTAAATAACACATTTTTATAGCGGGTAAGTGTAACTTAAAAAGATAAAGTGTAATTTTTAATTTTTCCTATGACAATATTGTTCAAAATGTATAGAATATCTTTTCATTCGATGGTCCGTTTTCGAGTCCTTTCCGTATACATCTCATCAATTAACACGCATCCGTTTATTACTCATATTTCCGTTACGTTAAACTGATCGCGACATTAGTATTACTATTTTCTCTATCACTCTGTTAATATTTATGATGAAAATCAAAAGTTTTACATTCCCAGCTATGTAAAAAAAAAAAAAAAAAAAAAAAAAGGGGAATATTCGGTTCTTCTTATATAAAAATTTTTCAACTACTAAAATATTAATACAGGAATGAGATTACTTTCTTCGCCAAATGGAAAGTAGGCAGGTGCGAGCTATGCTCGAAAGTGCAACTTATTGCGTGGCGATGTGAAATAGTTGCCGTAACACCGAGCGTAAAGTCACGCACGTACGTGCGGAAAGACACGCAACCTGATTACGCGCAAGTTTATCCCGGCATGCATAAATGTGGAGATACCATCGATCGGTTCTAATATACAATACGTGATGACGTAATGCGGTTAATGAGAGTAAAAGCCCTTGCTATTTTCCCACATTGATAAGCAATACATGATGCTAAGATTTCGTTAAACACGTTCAGAGAATCAGCAACCCGCGTATTCATGTCATGCCGATAAATGTCTGTATATCTGATTTTCATATGTAATTATTTTTGAACATAATTTTATTAGCTCCTTTTTTTGTGAAAACAGGAAACTATAAAAAATATTATTAACAAAGTAACGATAATTATTTATATTAAACATTTTTACAAACTTTTCTGTTATTTCTCGATAAGAAAAAAGAATATTATTATTTACCTATCATAAAATTGCACAAAAAGGACACTTTTGTTGAGTTACGTAAAAGTTTAGCTAGATAGTAGATCTAAAGATATCAAAATAATTACGTACGATGTTTATAAACATTGGCGACAATGCTGTAAAAAGTTTTAACATTCTAACAACTTAAGCGGTCTACGTAATTATTTTGAAGATTATTTTGTATGTAGCTAAATTTTTCGGCAAAGCCATTGTTTCCATGTGTAATGTCTGCTATATATTTATAATATTATATATCGAAAAATTGCTGTGATAATTTTTGCTTGTGCTATAACAAAGGCATTGTTTTATTCGATGGAATCTTTACACAAATAGCAAAATCTAATTTGTAATATAAAGTCACCGAATTAATTGACTCGTCACTATTTTCTCAAGCAGTATCGAATTTATATTGAAAACGTAGCGAAACGCAACGTAGCGTCTCGCCTTTGATAACAGTGCGGTATCTCTTTCCGAAATCATTAAGAACCGGTAAAGATGAACGTCACAGTGCGATACCCTCTCGTGCCAAGAGAAACGCGAAAAAAAAAACCGGGGTAACGGTCTCGCGCGCGATAATTTGTCATCCGGCAGTAGCAGCAGCCGGCGGGCGGCGGGCTGACTGTTGCTCTTCGTTGTCGCCGATTTCCGATTGCTTTTTTAAAGCGCCGGTCGCCGAGGACATTAATTACCCGGCCAGTGTAAATCACGTTATCTACCGCCCACGCCTGCGAGGGCCGTGAGGAGACGGCGAAACGGAAGGGGAGAACGACGGAGGAAGAGGAGGAGGAGGAGGTGGAGGAGGAGATGGAGGAGAATGAGGTGGATGAGGAAACGGAGGAGAGGATCGGGGAGGTGATGTTCGAATACGGCGGGGGTCGTGTTGCACGATGCGATGGTGTTGCATCGCTGCCAGCCGAGCAAAGCGCACGTCGACGACTGCTTTCCACGGCCGCAACAATATCCTGCTCGCCATTCCCGAAATTTATCGGCGACTCGCCCGAAACTTTCGTCTCGTCCGGTGGCTGCGTTTAACCCGGTGGGTGCGACGTGGTCGCCCGCATTTACCTATGGCGATCGATCGATTTCCCGTCTCCTGGATCGCGCGCGAATCCCGATCGGGGATGCTGGCCGTGCTGCACGGTTTTTCGCTCGCACTCCGTAACACGTTTTTCGTCGTCGCTGGTTAATTCATCTCGCGCCGCGACAGCAAGGTCACTGAAATAACCGGCTGAGATAACGTTATATTATTCAATAACATCACACGCAATACGTGGTCTACATAGTTACGAAGTCCATTAATTTGCAAAATAATACTCGTGGTATTCTTTCAGTCGATAATTTGGTTGTGATCATAATAGTTGTGATATTTAAACATGTAATACTAGTCCACAATTGATAAGATTGTTATATGTTAGTTTTATTAATACTAAGAGTACATTTCATTTGGCGCTTACAATGCTTATGAGCATCATTTGTCCTTGTTTAATATTTGATAACAAGGAAATAATTCTAAGAATGCTGTGAGCAACAAATGGAATGCCACTTAATTAATTTATTAACTTATGTTATCTTTTCTTTAAATCATATCACATTTCAAAATAGAAAAGTAAAATTGATGTTATTTTTTAAATTAATCACGAATGATCAGATTTTTGTTATACAGTTTTTAACATTTTCTTTAAATACAATTACACTAACTGCTCTTATTATTATATATAACATAGATAAAGAAGTACAATTTTAAAAACTTTAAATTTAAGATTAAAGATAAAATTAAGATAAATGTAGCATATATGACGTATTATATTTATATTTTATAAATATTTCAAAGCACAAGTAATTCTATGCACCATAATTCAACATTGGATTTTATTCTTTACAACTCTTTAAATTTTTTACAACTCTTCATTTTTGCTATATCGCGACAATCATCCACGGGATTCAATTCAATCGTACATTAATCTATCATTCAGCACGGTCATTCAGTTTAAGGGAAATCTTTAGTCTGTGTCTCGAAAGATCATCTCAAAATTTTGACGGAACTCGTAGGGTTCGAGACAAGATGGTGGGTCGATGATGGCGGCGGGTAGTTGCGAAAATGTAGAATGACGAGGGAGGAGCGGTTACAGGGTTAGCCGGGAGCGTATCCATGACGACCGACCGCCCCACGTACCCTCCGAGATCCCGGATGCTCCCCTCGGCATCCCAGCATCCCTCCCTTTCCTCCCTCCCCTCTTCCCCTCCGCTTTTCCCGCATACTCCCTTCTCACCCACTGCTACCCCGCGGTTCGCTCCCTGCGTTTCGCCATCCCGGGCAACCCTCTACGTCCACCGGGTTTGCTCTATCTTCCCCTATCTGCGGCCCGCACCGGGGGATGCACGGCTACTTAGATTTTAAGTCGAGCCATTTCGTGCCGCGTACCTACCTATACCTAACTCGGCTATAATTCTCGCTAGATACAGACGTGCCGACAAAGGAGTTGGATTCTCCGCGAAATTTCGGCCCTCGCTCTCGCGCGCGACGGAATTTCGATGCGAGCGCGAAGCACAAATTTCGCGCGGCACAAAAGCCTCGCTAGAATTAAAACCGTCGACTTCGTTCAACTGCGACGTCATATTTTAGCTACACGGTAATTCTCCAGTAATGGAATGTCGAGTTGGAAATGGGCGAAACTTGGTTATGAAATTTACTATAATTATAAACGGTAATTATAAATTTAGCAAGGAACAATTCTTGAGAAATGAAATGTTGAGGTGGACAGAAGGAAAATAATTGGTTATCAACATTATTGTATAGAATAATTTTTTAATAATTATTGGATAAAGTATGTTTGGAAAAGTATTGGCGAATGTTGATTGTTGATCGTGAACACTTTTCCAAATTCATCTGTCTGTATTAATTATCTCAATAAAAGAGACAAAGAGAAGGATGTAGTTGTTAACGTTAACACTTGCCCATTTATGTGATTTATGATATATAAAAATTATTACATTTTATATTGATAAAAAAATTATTTTAATTAGAGTTTAATTTTATTTTCATGTAGTGTAAAAAATCAGAACAATTAGTCGAAAATTAATTTTCGCGCATTATTTCAGAAAATATCTGCATTGAGATTTGATGAGATCTCATAGTAATAATTGAATATTGAATACAAATATTTTCTGCGTTTATTTCCTTTAACTTGTCACCTAATCTGCACTAGCAACAGAGTTGAGGGGCAGCGGAAGTGCCGGTCATTGTGTCAGCATGTCTCAGGGTAATGCATGTATTTAATGTTTACCGGTCGAGCACCATCCCTCGGATAGCTTGTTTGCACACGTAATTGATGTTTGACAAGACGAGGTGACACGCGTGCCGACATCGTGTTTGTCAGTGTACACGCGTTAACCTTTTTAACATGAGTAACAAACGACACACTTAGGTGCACATCTATTTCATTAAATCGAGCACATAAGGAATTTAACTTTTGTGGTCGTAATTTTATCAGTTCGAGTGGTAGAGTTTAATTTCTGTGACTTTATTTTACTCGAAGTGTACATTCAAGTTAAACTCACATTAAACTCAAACATAAAATAGAGAAGTTATACAGTAATGTAAAAGTCGTTTAGATGCTTAATAATTGCAATTTTATATATGCATATTAAATGTACTATATAAGTATATAAAAGTATATATAATACCATAAAAATAAAAAATAAATTATGTCATTGGTTTTATAATATTTCAAAGAAAACAAAAAATTCATTTTATTTATCGGCTGATTCTATATCTGATAGTTACATTTAAAGTGTTCGACTATTCTATGACACCGT